ATTGATGATCTCTTCAAGATGTCAGTAAAACTTCTTCTGTAACGTGTGCTGAATTCAAAATTACTGTGAATGAATGGCATCTATCTCTTGTCATGTTTTGACTCTTTTAAAGGGGGCATTGTTTGGCTGAAGCGATACCTTTTCATAGCGTTGCACGGTATTTGTCTCATTGTTCTTTATTAAGGGCTGCTCTAATTTCCCATAGGTTACTCTTCGGCACTAGAATACTAGACGAAATCTAAGAGTTTTATCAAGCGTTTCTGTTCCCCAGTTTTAGTCTTCGCAAGCTATCTTTTTTCCACGCTCAGTCGTACCTTATTACTGTTAACTGATACGGTGGTATTTGCAAACAGGTCGTTGTTTCATTAATGTCTTAGCTCAGTTTGTTGCTCTTATGGTCGCGTGTTTGATTGTGCTTGTGTTGGACAAAATGAGTGCACTAATGAAGTTCGAGACCATTGTTTTCAATGTAGTCTTTTGTTAGTTGCCCCCATACATCTTTTCGAAATTAAGAGCAGACATACCAAAATCACTGGCAAGAGTGAAGAAACATGAACCTAAAGCACTTCTCCGGTACTGAGGTAACACAGAGATCATGAATTTTGCTACTACAGAAATTATATTGAAATCCTGAGTCGCTCGTGTCACATTCCTCTGTGTCCTTTAATCCCGGTAGGTTTCAGTACCGGAAGTCCAGAATGTTTTTTCCAGACATATTTTGTTCACTGGATTTAATGGTAGGAATATGGGTATGAGTATGTGTTGGGGTCATCCTGAAAATTTCTTGCAGTAGACGTGACAAGCTTAGGAAACATAAAGAAGCATCTCATCCAATCAGCATTTGAATAGAAGTTTTGCTAGAAACATCACGAAAATAAAAAGTCATATGTAGAGGTTCTGATTGGCTGATTACTACGCTGATACTATGTTTATTAGCATCCCAGAATTTACAGGAAAACGCAAGGACTTTTGGGATATTATAAAACCTTGTATTTTCTGTACATAAATGAACCTGTGGAGTAAAGTGCTTCTCGTATATTTTGCGCCTTTTCCCTCGTGTTGAAGTCGCTATATAGTTCTAGCTTGGGGGTCAAGAGACTAACTTAGGATCTGAATATAGCGTTCAGTCAACAAGAATTATCTGCTGACGTAAGCTGTGCCTCGTCAAGGTTACTGCCTCAATTTGTCTTAGTTAACATTTTGAAATTTAGGGCTACCGTACGGCAAGACTGTCTTATTGATTAACTTATTTTGAATTGTGCATAAATATATCCCAAATGTGACCAATAATGGGTTTGCTGTTGGGAAAGTGTATTGTTTTAGACAGCTGACCGTTAACGCTGGAGCTAAGGGCTAGTAACTGAAAGTTAGATAATCCGGTATCGATGACTGTCTATTCACACTCCCTGAGGCTTGCTTCCGTTGCATCAAAAAGTCCAGCGCTTTTGATGGCACTTATAGGTTGTTTATAGAACCATCAAACTAGCCTTTGAAACATGGAAATTAGTGCCAGTTCCATGTTCCGAGTAAATAAGAGCTGAAACTTATGTAGCGAGTGTTAAAATCTATTTGGCATATTTCATTGTTTCTACGTTGTCTACTGGTAAACGTTTCTAGTTGTCACTAAGATTGCGTTTGGTTTGTAGACGTTGTTATGACGACGGTGTTATGATTCCCGAAATTTCATCGTAATGACGTTGGATTTTGATTTGCTCATCTGGTACATTACTTCATGAGGTGAAAAATAAAATCCAAGGGGATTCGGTGCCATGAGTTATGCTCTATGCTGCCTTCTTTAATTGCCAAAGTTTGCGACCCAATTTTGCGTCTCCTCTCGTCACAACCGTACACCATTTACAGATATTAATTATTAAACCTTACGTCTTTATCGGACAAGCAAAGAATCGAATGGAGATATCAGGATATAGGTCACCCCAACGGTTCTTACGTCAATCTCAATTCCCAGTTGACAACAACATCATGGGTGAAACAGTCAAAAAAACAAGGATGGAAAAAAGCCCTTCAATGCTACGTCCAACACCGTTTGAATATACCAAACACGGACACCTTACTTCACTTAGTACAAATTTCAAGTAGAATGATAGAGAGAGGCCTTTTTATTTGATCACCTAAGACACGACACACATGGAAATGTGAAACGCCAAAAGACCCTGCCATAGCATAGCTCATTATGAGTATCGAAAATCAAAAAATACTTTTGCCAAAATGTGGATAGATAATGAAAACAGGCGCAAGCCACCACAACGACCGAGGTTCGAGCATGTCACAATCTTTAAGACAGTCGGGACAGTTCCGTTTGTACTACTGGGAGCTCGTCGCCAAATTAACGGTGTGCAGCCAATCATGTACCTGGCTGAAAGGGACCCACAACTAATATGGGAAACAAATGACCCCTCTAACGATCATCATGGTTGAGGAGGGTGGCCCAAACCTTTGCTTGTTTTATGTTAAGGACGGAAAGTCAGGCTTGAACGTTTTAGTGGATACCGGTGCTGCACTTAGTATTAGTCCTAGAAACGAAACCGAACAAATCCGAAAGTCAACCTCATTCGCACTTAAAGCTGCCGGTAAAACTGGGCACAGAACTATGATACAGGATGTAAGGTCCATGATGCAGTTACCATGGGTATTATTTGGAGACTAGTTTACACTGAATATAAGCCGATGAACAGTGGGCTGTAAACTAAGTTCAACAAACAGTTGTCCAGGAAAATTCGACTCTTTGACTTCATATAAAAATTCACCTGTGATACACAACATGACAAACGTAAGGACGATCAACCAGCAGATGCGTTATCTTGATTAGAAACAGATGAATTTCGGCACGCGGCCATAAGTTTCAAAGGATTAAGAGACAATTACAAAATCTGTTTTCAGCAAAAACCTTTGGTTTCAAGCTAAGGGAGTTTCCATCACCTATTCAGGGTAGCGTGTTGTACTCTAATACAAATAAGGCGATTACTGAATCATTTACCTTAGAGAATATGGTGAAATTAATACATTACTCTTCATATTTTGCATCATCATGGCGCGAGAGCTACTTGCAAACTAATAAATGCCTGATACATGCGACCAAATTTGCAAATGTGCACAACTGGGGTGGAGAGTATTAGGTATGTCAAAAGTCAAAGGCTGACCGTCAAACAAGTTCACCCATCGGGTTTTTTTCCCACATCCAGATGTGCGCCATGCAAATGTTCATATGGATTTGTTAGGCCATTTACGGCGTTCCAATGGTTTTCATTAGTTTTTCACATGGATAAAGAGATTAACGACGTTACCAGTTGCCGTTCACATAGCTCATGTCGCAGAAAAAACAACTGATAAGTATTTCATTCCGAAATGGGTGACTACCTTTGGTACTACTATTACAATAAAGACTGGTAAAAGAGCCCAACTCCAGTCTGAGCCATCCAACAACTTATCTAAAGTTCTAAGCTCTAGCAGAATACGTTGCACAGCATATCCTTCTCATACTTTTGAGGACGAAAGGTCACGGCATCGCTTTGGTTTTGTCACAGTAAATCAGAATACCGTCGATAGGTGATAGCAACTGCTTTAGTTTGAGAATACAGTTATTTGCTGTGAGTAGGTTTGGTTTTTTTGATCCTCTTCATTTTTCTCTCTAGAAGTCTTGAAACTTACTGTAGACTGTTGTATTACGTCCAGTTCTAGTCGAGATAACGCATCTGCCAGCTGATTATCCTGACCTTTGACATGTCGAATATTACTTGTGAACTGTGATATACAGCCATTGTGGTGGACCTCTCAAAGAGAATATTTATCATCTCTCGCTTTTAATGAATCAGTTAGCGGTTTGTGATCCGCACAAACTATGATATCCTCGCCTTCCAAAATGTGTCGGAAATGTTTAATAGTTAGTTAAACTGCCAGAATTTCTCGTCCGAAAGTATAATTTCTCGCCTCTGCTGTAGTGAGTCTTTCTGAGAAGAATGTAACCAGTTTTCATGCGTTTTTAACCAGTTGATTCGGGATACCGCTTACTGCTTTGTTCGAAGTATCCACAAGCCAAGCGAGTGGGGAAAGGGAATTCGGATGCGTCAACGCAGATACTTCAGCCAGTTTATCTTTTAGCTGAGTAATTACCTCGACAGCCTCAGAATTCAAACTAAATTCTTTTGGTTTTCTTTCAAGTGAACGTGTCAAAGGTTGCATCAATGGTGCGCAACCGGGAATGGATCATCGATAAAAGTTAATTAGACCTATAACACTTCTAAGTTGCGTTAGAGAACTTGGTATGGGGTATTGTCTGATGGTGTTCACTTCTTCTTTGATCGGTGTAATCATCTCTGTGCTTATTGTGTATCCGAAAAAATTATGGAGTCTGAACACCGAAAACAAACTTACTTTGATGTATGCTAATTCTATTTTCATTTAACCGTTTTAGTACCTCTCTCAGATGCTGTTCGCGTTATTTTAAATACAGACTGGCAATTAACAAATCGTTCATATACCCCTGTGCAAATGGAATACTCCAGAATAGGTTATTTAGGAATCTTCGAAATATTTATCCCGCATTCCTCATGCCGAATGGCATGCGTACAAGCTCGAAAAGTTCAAAATGTGTTGTAAAAGCTGTCTTAAGTATACCTCCCTCAGGTATTGGGATGTTACGATATCCGCTGATCAAGTCAATCTTAGTAAATATGTTTGCAGTCTGCAAGTCTTTTGTAAAATTTTGGATCTTCGGTATTGAGTACTTGTCTGGCACGGTTTGACGATTGAAGGATCTGTTATCCCCACTCGGTCTCCAATCACCTTCATTTTTCTTTGGGACCATACGCAATGGGGTTACTGGTTAAAACAACCCTAATGACCTGAATAATTCATTCACTAATATTTGAGATGTGCCAACCCAAAAACAACTTCTGAATCAATTAACATCAACCCATTGAAGTGTCAAGACTGCTAACTTTGGACTCGACAAAAGACCCAAGACCATACTGTTACATAACAAGGAGCACAAAGGGTAAACATCTTGTTTATATTAGACTGCCATAAAGATGTTGGATAGGTAATCAAATATGGAGATAAATATTTTCGTTCCCTTTTGATAAAGACAGCAATATTGGGTATTGGAGCTGGGTGACATGACAACTAACATATCATTTACAAAGTCAAGGTCGTTGGGGTCTGTAATGTGTTGTGCTCAGACAAAGTTGCGTCACATACAAAAGGGAAAAGGAGGCGAAAATAACAATCCTATTCACCATATTACTTTTAATACAACACCACACATTCAATATTGTGGTGATTATAATTTAGATACAAACGTATATCGTACCTCAGGATTCGTATCAAATATAAGACCATTTATTCGATACAGCGGTAAACTCGATGAGAAAGACAACACAGCCTTCAGGTATTCATTTCAAGATCGATAGTGATGATTATCAACAGAAACATACTGAGCACTAATTACCTTTCCACAAATCATAAAGATTTCTTGGCATACTCCATACCATCTGGGAAAGAAACTTTACCTTATCTTGCAGAACAACTAGTGAACGAAACAAAGGTACCAAAAGCATTTTCGGTAAATGTGCATGTTTTTATCGATAAGTGTATAGACAGAAAATAATATTTTAGACCAGAAAGCTAAGGATATTTTTACTCCGATACTTCCGAAGGAGAAATTTGTACTGTCAAGAAAAGCAGGTTCTTGTAACATAGAAAATGAAGACTATTGTCATGTATGTCGTGGATTGACACAAACAATTTCAGGGTCCCAATACACATTCTACGACCCACGTGGTCCATTATGGTCAAATTGAATCAAGACCGTGTAAGTCATATGTTGTATCTCCAGTCTCACATTCTCCTATCAAAAAGCTGATTAAATTTCGAGATTCATTTGGCGTTTAAAATGTACTTTGTATTCACGTTTACATTCATGTCTTAGACTTTTAGTTGAGGAGGTTGTCAGAAAGCTGTTTTTCTCATTTTTCAGCCTCTCTCCATGCTTTTCGGTATTCTATTGGACAAATAAATCAGAAAACAAACTTCAATTCTTTTTCAGAGGGGTTTTAACAACTAGTTATTGTTGGGAAGAAATGAACCCCATGGAGACATGGTAGGCCCATGGCTTTTGGACTAACGTTCTATGTTCTCCGAGTCGTTTTCGTCTAGTTGGAACAAGAAGAAAATGAATGCTAGGTTCAAGTTTATATATTTGTATCTTACATATCATGAATAAATATCCACCTAGCATGATTTCTCATTTGCTGAGGGCAAGAATAAATGTGTCTTTTTATCGTTATAGTCGTTGTTATATACATTTGAGATATGGATAGTACTATTTAGTTGTTTTTATGGACATGGAACATATTTAAGCTTTTTGATAGTTGTTGCATATCAGATGCGATGCTTTGTTTCACATATGATGGCAGAAATTACTAGGTAAACTTTAGTGCTGTTATTTGTACAAGGAAAGCATCCCTTTAAATGGCTGATAGTAATTTATACTACACCGCAATTCATATTGAGAAGTGACCGTTTTGTAAATTTAGTTCACTTCTTCTACCGACTGTAGTCAAGTGATTTTTTCATTGGATCCAAACCTATTTGTCTTTCTTAAGTTTCTTAACATCGGTCTTAGACACATTTTGGTTATTGTAGTTGTTCATTTGGACTTTCTTAAGTCAACCTTAATCAGTACTGATTAAAGTCAACTTTTACTTTGTTTAGATGATTTAACCTATTTTTAACAAATCCAACAGTGTAATTCTGAGTTGAATGAGATTCTAGATTGAAAACATTTAAGAACTCAGGATAACAATACGTTTAATTTATAGGGAAAGCATAGTTCTAGTGGTTTTTAAGCTTTGTGTTTTTCCTTTGATATACTTATACGGTAGTCTTTACAAGTATATTGGTCCTTCTTAGAAAGAGTGTGCTCCAGAATTTGAGGTTTTTGTCATTTCTTTTTCTTTAACAGTCATTGCAACCCTATATAGCAATCAATTATTAGCGCTTATATAAGGCATTCCATTCAAGGTCATAAGAAAGTTTAAGTAACGATGGTTGTCCTAAAGAAACACTTTACAGCCGTCACACTTCAAAACAGTCAGTAATGCGACTTCTTTATCTGATCTTACGTCTTACTATACTGGATCGATATGTGCTTCCACGTCACGATTTCCTGAATGCAGTTGAGGAAATCATATAAATTAGATATCAAGAATTCTATTTCACATTCCCCAACTTAAAAACTTACAAGCATGCCTCCCGGCCTTTCTACTTTCATAATTGACCATAAAGTAACTTTAAAATGAAGTAATTTATCTCCGCCTATGTCTTTATCTGGACTAAATTTTCTACTTTTTTCTCTTCATTTCAAATAATCTGCTGACTTTGTTATTAGACGGATTTCGTAATGTTTTGTCTAGCAAGTATTGGCTTCAAACTGCATCAGTCCTTTGTGTGCCGAAAATCAGAGACTAAGCGAATAATCAATGCTTTTCGTTAATTGTGACTAACTCAGTTGAACAGAACAATAGCGGTTAAATTTTGAGCAGATTGTTACTTTGATTAAGAGAGTGTATCCCAGTTACGGATCGCTAGAGCAGACAAGCTAGGTTATTTTAAGTACTGGTTACGGCCAACAAACCTGCAAGATAATGACGATAAAAAGTTAACCTAAACGTTTTAGATCCATAATCTTAAAACAAAGCTATGACTTGTAACTTAAGTTAATAAATACAAAATATGACCGATAAAAAGTCATTAACCATCAGTGCGAGTAAAACTTATTGAATGGCTAATAGCTTGTCACTATTAAGTTGGTTCCTTGTGGCCATTATTTTGTAGCTTGGCATTTCTAAACATTAACACTCGGGATATTTTTTAATTCCTGGCGATGTAGAAACTAACCAAGTATGATAGGGTTATGTGACCTTTAGCCATGCATTAATGCAAGCTCTCGGCCATCGAAAATCAGGAGAAATTTAAGTACTAAAAAAACGATCGCTTTAATCAAATAAAATAGTATCTGGAGGGTTATTCAGTTACGAAAGCTTTTAAACACGAATTATAGAGGAGTGAGTGCATTTACCGTGCTCAGGTTTATATTTTCAGTTTTGTAAAACTAAAATGAACGTCTATAAAATGTCAAACGATAATGTTTGATCGCCTTAATGAAAGTTATTAGAAAAACGTTTGTGACACATTATACCATATATTTTGACTCTAAAAATCATTTTAACTCTGTTACATAACAGACGGTTTAATTGGGGAAGGACGATGGTGTTGTGCTTCCTAGGTGTCGATTACCTTCAAAATTAATACCTCTTTGAGTTAATGAATCCACTGCAATAAGTTTTATTGATATATTGAGCATACGAATGCCCGAGGTTTTAAAATAAGTGGAACCAATTATTCAGCTTAGAAACTGTGAATGCATAATTTACGGTCATGTCCATGTTATCTTTTATTTAAATCTCATTGTAATCATCACGCACATGTGTTTGAATGCACGGTGAACGTTAGCATTGCACTTCCGAATTTTTCCACATTCCTAGATATTCTCCATTCTTATTTTTACCAAACAAATTATTAGTATTTTACATGAAATTTCAGACCATTTACTCGGCACACTAGTTACTTTCGTAAAAGTAAATAAAAAGTAAATAAACCTATCATGAACCCAGAGTAATCATCGAAGTTCTCCCATGTGGATTCGAAATTAAAGTTTATTTTTTATCGCCAGATTGATTTTTTCATTACGAATTTGTGTTTATTGAACAATACTTGAAATGTGCTGTGGAAAGTCGGAAATGACTAGTTATTTGACGGAAGATAAATGTAACTAGATAGCGAGCATGCATATTCCTTCACTTTTTAAATATTGCACTAAATAAACACACCTAAAGTTACTCCGGTTACTGCAGTCACGGACTAAGGTCAAACTTCACTTTTATTTCTGACAGTGTCAATCTTTTGTTCTTAACACTAAAATTTGACCTTTCGTATATTTCAGATGATATGTTCAAAGTTACTGTCGGTCGTAAGGAAGAATCTGGATCTACTCGTAGTATAAGCAATTTTGACGCAATCAGCAACTGCTTTAGATACTCGTTTAAAACTGTTCAAACAGGCTGTAAAACTGATAAATTAACAAGCCAAACTACTTATATGAGTGATTTTAGACCTTTTTGTCATAAAAATGGTTCTGAGTCTTTCTCAAACTGGTTAGGCAACATATCTTACCAAAAGCCAACTGGTTATGTTATTCAAAATAAACTTTGGCCTGAATATAAAAGTCATCATTCATATTACGTAAGCCATTGGTCTTTAACTGATAATTTCTTTTAAATAATAAACTGGATAACCGGAAAGCTATGACACTGATTGTTTCTAGTCGTGTTAATTTTTCTGATAGAGTGACAAATAAAAAATAAACCACAGAGGTGGTTCAAGAAAAATTATCACAATCTACAATAACTCTGGAAGAGAGAAATCAGCAATTGATAAACAACAATGAACAGGAAAGGAACTATAAGACAAAGGAAATGAGTCTATTTCAACAATACTTTCGAAATAGTGAGAGATAAAAATGGATTTTCTAGCTAACTGTCGTTAACTCTTAGTAACATCATCCTTAGTTTTCAACCACTGGATCAGAAAACCTCCAGTAATACGATTAAAAAGCACTTATCTCTCTACAGAAATTACACTGATGGCTTTTTACTTCATGGTAACACATATCTATATTTTTCTATCTTACTTAAGTACTTTAAATTTCTGTCCATAAAATGAGTTTACTACTGTCATATTTTCCTGCACATACGATAAACTATCTCGAAACTTAAAAGTTTTAAACAGTTGCAAAATATTAACCAAGAACCCCTTTAATTTTTGTAGTTTATGTTGTCTTAAGTGTTCACTAACTAAAAATGTTATATGTGGATAAGTCGTGAAGATAATTTATGTTTAGCTTAAAAAATAGCATTCCAGTTGAGGAAGATAAAATGAAACCGAATCGTCGGTATTAAATTGCCATGACAGTTTGGAAAAGTTGTCAGTAATGGTGTAAATTTTTCAGCCTTTTATATTAAGAACTCCAAATAATTGGTATCTGTTACCATATGTGCATTCTTAGAAAATTGTTTTCGCATTTCCTTTTCTATTTAAAATGTTGATATAGTTGGATTGTGACCAGCAGTGAAATCGAGGACATTTGTTTTGTCCTAATTAATATCGATCAGCTGAACGGACCTGAGTTGCTGTATTGATATTCATGTTAGGAGTTGAACTCAATACCTATCACTTCAAACGCCGAGTCACTCCACAGGCTCAACACCATTGTTGACTCCACATTGGTCTTGGAAGTGAATGGTACTGGTTTTGAGCCTCAGTGTAAACATTAGAATGGACGAAATTGTATTCAGCTAAACCATCCAATACGAGACTAGTCGAGCTCTTTGATTTCCACTGTCAACCACAATCTATTCAAACACAAAAGTCTGGGAAACTGTAATTCTTTGTATTTCAAGAAAAAAGAACTCCATAAAACACCTATATCTCTTGTCAGGAGGTTTGAAAGCTTCTGCTACGATTTAAATTTGTAAGGATAATAATAGCTGTCATTTAAGGCATTCTTCATCTTATATTACTGTCAAACACTTGATTATAGAGACTACTTAAGATTTTCTGTTATAATAATTGATATTGATGAGATCTTTATTAAATAACCCCATTATTTATTCTTTCGTCATTAAATGATTTAGATATTTAAACACTCTGATGGCTTTCCTGAAGTATATTTGGAAAAGTTAATGAGGACGGATTCAGACGAATGTAAAAGTGCTATTCATGGATTCATAGAATCAAGGTAAAATGTATTGACTGTTTTATTTACTATTCCTATTTATACAACTCAATAAGCCAAAAACTACTGCTATTTGGTAGCCCATCAGCTAGTATGATAACAAACTGAAATTGAAGAATTATTGTTCTGGAAATTACAACCACTTACGACTAAACGTAAAAGCACATTCAGAAATGATATCAGTAATCTTTCCATATCGTTATGTGAACTGTCCACATTTTTTTAAACCAACTTATCAAACTTTTTAGCTGCCTAAGAAATCAGTAAACCATTCGACCAGTCTTCTTGATTCATATATGAAGCGCCTATGCAACCACTTTACAAGACACTTCCGTGAAATAGCAGTATACCCACTCTGTTCTTAGTTTCAAAATAACGAGTAGCGATCTAGTCTGTAGTTATCAAATAATGTGCGTTTTTAAATCTTAAATATGAACCTGGGCTTTGTTGTCATGTTAAGCTGGCATGGTAAGCCCTGATATCTTTGTAGATAACAGGTAAAAATACATTATTCTTCGAATGCCCGCTAAAACAAGTCAAGTAACTCAGTGCTATTTTCAGTGATACCTGATTTCTAAGATATAACTCAGATCCCGTAGTCGCCATTACTAGGTTTAGCAGTCTGTAAAAAATAAGTGAAAATTTATTGTTTAGTCTTTTGGTGTATGACAAGGAATTTTCTCTACAGTTGCACTGTTTACTAAAACATCGTTTTACCTAAAAAAAGTTATAAATACATCGTTTCGGAATGCCACTGAGCGGCATATTATCACGTTAACATCCAGAGAGCAACATATTATAAGTTAATGGAAAACAGTGTTGATTACTTTGCCGCCTGTTATTGTCGATATGACGACCTGAACAAATTTTACCTTGTTTCTACGGAGCGCTGAATATGTTGATATTTTCTCTAGTTATTGCTTCGGTACTGATATAAATATATACTGAGATATGTAACATGTGTGTGATTACATCTACTCTTTACTTGTTAATAACCAATCTCATGATATCTGGACATTGATGACCATGAAGTTAAGGTTATTTACCATACTGTAAACTATTCCACTCTGTGTAAGTGACATGGTGGTGACTTTTCCTATTACAACGCTAAGTAAAGTAGATTCGAATATCTTCGAGATAGAAAAATCTTAATACGATTTATTGACTTAATTTACTGGTACGCGTTTACAAGTATGACGCATAATTCCATGGGTTCCTAATGACTGTTCAAAACAAAGTGTTGAAATAAGTTCTACATGATAATGAAAACTGAATACAATCTAGAAGAAAAAGGATTCCAAGTTTCAGATTTGTAGACAAACGGAATTTTTAGAAATAGATCTAGCGTACGCTATTATCACTTTTTATGACCAACTAAACTGTTCTTCTGGTGATTTTGGTAATAGAAATGACCATAGTTTGGCTGCTTTTCATTCATAGGTACTTTGAAACTAATGAAGAAATTCCGTTACTTATTAAGAGCAAACCATACATTGACACTGGTCTATTACAATTTCTGAAAAATCGATGAGGTCTCCTCGTCTAATGGTGAATATTTGCATTAAAAACAGTTCTTTTTTACCTCACCAGATTAAGAAACTTATACTGGTGATATAAGTCAAAAAAGAATAAATATCATCGTAGTGGAGCAAAGTTTCCAATTAAGTTGACGAGTTCGGAAAAAAATGTCCAAATGAAGATTCTAGGGTACCAAACGAGTTACTAAAGTGCATAGAACTAAAAAGTTATTTGATTGCTCAATGAAATAACTGAACACAGGTTAATGACAATACAGAATAACATGACTTGGGATGTCATTTATTAGTAAGATTAAGGAAGTAAAATAATTGAGAATAATACAATCAAAATATGAAGAAAGGTTACAACATGATGTAATAAAATAATCATAAAGTTGCCACGGTAAAGAAAGATTCACGTCACTTTTCTTTCGAACACATTTGTCTAGTCTTAGGCACACAACGAAAAATGAAAAATAAAAAGGCTAGAGCAAACAAAGTCTCATTAACTCTTCAAAAATCACTACCTTGTTTTTTATTTGGGGGATACCTATCGATCTTTGACTTCGTCAACAAACATGTTTTGTACGAGACCATCATGTTGGCTGCAGGATACGTGTTTAATTAAGTATTTAGTCTTCGGCTGACTACCCATGTAATATCTTCAACTTCAAACTGAAGTCCAACAAAAGTGGGACTTTTGTTTACTGTGATTTCTTGAAGGCATTTTATTTTCGATATTTAGCACTTCTTAACAGATTTCTGTGAACACGTGTTATTCCTTAGATATTTTTTAACGTCCATTAGTTTTATTTCAACAGAACATACCCTTGTTCTATGAAATGATATTCTCATTAATTTATTCTTGTAACTGAATGGACGAAAGTTACTAAAACTTAAATAAACTCTATTCTAAGTCTATTGCCGGAATGTGTAATTGTGTCATCCTCCCTCAGTTGTGTTACGATATCAGGAAATTGGTACTTGGCATCCTTTTCATGTTGCATAGTAAACTGCATATTCTTATGTTGGAAGGTTCAATCAGGTTGATTATGTGCTGTTGATTATTAGATGCAATGAATGTATCATTACCATACCTCGAATAATATCCAATTTCATCAGTCTCTCATTTAAACTTTGGTCATTTCAAGGTTAGTTTTAAAAATATCCTCTAGAACTTGTCCCAACGGACTAACCATTGCCACCCTATCAGCACACATAAGTAGTAGACGTTTAAGGTTTGATACTAACTGAAGGAGGCGATCATAGCGTTTGTAAATTATGCCCAGAGTTTCAGGAAGTATCATGAATACGGGATTTGGTTAACATCTAAAAGTACTTCATTTACGTGCTAACTTCCTAATAGGCGGTTGAATACAATTTGCAAAGAATTTTTGGAATAACTTAAAAAACTATTTACAACCATTAGCATCCAGATGTATTACTTCTTAGTTGTAATCTACGTCTTGTTATACAGTTACATCTTATATCACTGTTTTTCGTTGGGGTACGGGAATAACCATCAAAAAGTATTCTAATGGACAACCCGATAGTAATCAATGATATATTCCTCAAGGCACATTGTCTAATCAAACTTTTCCAGTTGATGTTTGTAATGAGACAGTCAAGCCATGCAGTTGGTTTTTGGTTCTACACTTAACAATGTAACTAATGTATTACGTGCTACATAATGAACTACTTTTCTTTAATATGCATACATTATACTGTACAATCATTTGTCAAGCGTTTTAATGACATCAGTCTTCATATTTGCTGATATCAAATAAATTAACGAACCCTCTATTGAGTTCTGAATCATTAATGGCAGCAGAATGTGTCGTAATTTTGTCCCACAAACGCTGAATGTATTATCTGTTCACACATAGGCTCAAGTGAAATATATTCAGAAGAAACTGGTTACCTTTTCAAATATATGTTAATGTTCTAAGCCATTATGTGATTTTATAATGATTATTTTAGTGTATTCCAGGATAATTCGTTTATTAAAATTGCATTTTAATGTACAAAACTAGGCTGGTCAAAGTCTTTTAAGACATACTCAGTGACATGGGTTTGAATTGTATTTTTTCTGAAGGAGGCAAGATTTTCTTCTTATAACGGGCGAGATTCATTATAAAAACTGAATATCGTTGGGAAACAGTGTTTGAATAAATATGAATTAAAATGTTATGAAATTTCTGTTGATGGAAAGAGGTTTTCGTTTTATAACCAAATTTTCTCTATTCTACGTCATCATTTAAATCTACATTCTCTCTTCCGTAAACTCTTATTTTCATGTGTAAGATCCTGAAAAATATGTGGTTTTTTTTATATAATTTTAGTATAACAAAGAGCTCACAGAACGATTTACAAAATCAACCTAAATCACCAGCTGAACTGTTAGGTAGAGTGACCGTCGGTCGACTAGAAACGAGTGGTTCCGCTTTGAATATTTCTGGATATGTTAAAAGTCAAGATACGCCACCAGATCGTCGTGTATCACACAGTATGAATCAAGTAAGTGATTCTTTGACTTATGTCAACTAATTTGTAATATTTTGTCTTTAAACTTCCTGAATAGTATATATATATATATATATATATATATATATATATATATATATATATATAATTAGAGTACATGATGTTTGAAAGTAGCGAATCATTTATTTTCAAAGTTATCATGCTGCTGAAATCCGAAATGAAATGGCCTTGCCCTTCTACGGTGGAACATATTTTATATCGTTACAGAGAGTAGCGTTCTCCAGCTAACCACTTTTTGTAACTTGAAGTAGTGGGTCTCGAGAACAATAGCTTCAAAGTATGTGAGCTATTTCATACATTCTTGTGGAACCAATCTATGTTGATGGTTTTTATTCAAAAGACTTAACGATGTAGTCATAGATTCATCAAAAGATCAATCGTTGAATATTTTAATAACATTTAATAACATAACATTTTAATAACATAACATTCGATCCAGCTGACGAGTCCTAAATAAGACGAAATGCGCGTCCTGGATTCCAATGCTAGCCACTATCCATCTTTGTTAACTCCGCCTGTAGCTCCTCTGGGGTTACTGCCGGTCCCAAGCCCGGGTGAAGGAGGAGGGTTGGGCATGGGGTTAGCGACCCCATCCCGTAGAAAATCAACTCGCTAAAAAAACGCTAACCAGAAAAAAATCATTCAAACCTTTCAAACTCTGCCCTCCAAGTTGAAGGAAGAATTATGACGTCTCATGATGAAAGCCGAGTTCCTTCGGAAGTCATGAGGTCGATGCACCTTCTTACAACCAGAGCGACAATTTTTATAGGTACATGGAATGTCCGAACTATGTGGGAGACCGGAAGAGTCTTCCAAATTGCTGCAGAAATGAGAAAATACAACCTGGAGGTGCTTGGAATCAGTGAAACGCATTGGACGCAGGTTGGACAACAACGACTATCTTCAGGAGAACTTCGCTTATACTCCGGTCATGAAGAAGAAAATGCCCCACATACACAAGGAGTTGCATTGATGCTGTCCAGAAAAGCACAAAATGCACTTATAGGATGGGAATCTCATGGAACAAGGATCATCAAAGCTTCCTTCAGAACAAGGAGAGAGGGCATTACAATGAACGTCATCCAATGCTATGCGCCTACCAACGACTACGGTGAAGACACTAAAGACCAATTCTACGATAGGCTGCAGTCGATCGTCGAGAAGTGCCCAACCAAGGACCTGACAATTCTGATGGGAGATCTCAATGCTAAGGTTGGAATGGACAACACTGGATACGAAGACGTCATGGGACAACATGGACTGGGAGAAAGGAACGAAAATGGTGAGAGATTTGCAAACCTATGTGCCTTAAATAAACTGGTCATAGGTGGCACCATATTTCCACACAAAAACATACACAAAGCCACTTGGATTTCACCGGATCACACTACACAGAATCAAATCGACCATGTCTGCATCAACAAAAAGTTCAGGAGGACGATGGAGGATGTGAGAACCAGAAGAGGAGCTGATATAGCATCCGATCATCATTTGCTGGTCGCCAAGATGAAACTAAAACTCAAGAAGCAGTGGACAACGGCGCGGACAACATCACAAAAGTTTAATACGGCCTTTCTTCGAGAAGCTGACAAACCCAACAAATTCAACATAGCCCTCAGCAACAGGTTCCAGGCCTTTCATGATCTACTCAATGGAGAGGGAACTACCATGGAGAGCAACTGGAAAGGTATCAAGGAGGCAATCATTTCAACGTGTCAAGAGGTTCTGGGCCAAAAGATGCACCATCACAAGGAATGGATCGTTGTTGGTACACTGGATAAGATTGAAGCAAGGAGGAACAAGAAGGCAGCAATCAATATCAGCCGAACAAGAGCGGAAAAAGCCAAAGCACATGCCGAATACACAGAGGCAAACAAGCAAGTGAAGAGGAGCATCAGAACCGACAAACGTAAATATGTTGAAGATTTAGCGATGACAGCTGAAAAGGCTGCAAGAGAGGGAAACATGAGACAACTGTATGATACAACAAAGAAACTTGCTGGAAATTACCGTAAACCTGAAAGACCAGTGAAAAACAAGGAAGGCAAAGTAATCACCGACATTGAAGAACAACGAAACAGGTGGGTAGAACACTTCAAAGAACTCTTGAATCGACCAGCTCCACTGAACCCACCCAACGTCGAAGCAGCACCCATGGACCTCCCAATCGATATTGGCCCACCAACAATTGAAGAGATCAGCATGGCCATTAGACAAATCAAGAGCGGCAAAGCAGCGGGACCAGACAACATCCCGGCAGAGGCACTGAAAGCAAATGTAACAGCAACTGCCAAGATACTCCACATCCTCTTCAGTAAGATTTGGGATGAAGAACAAGTACCAACAGACTGGAAAAAAAGAATTCTGATCACGATACCAAAGAAAGGCGATCTGAGCAAGTGCGACAACTACAGGGGCATCACTCTCCTCTCAATACCAGGAAAAGTCTTCAACAGAGTATTGTTAAACAGGATGAAGGATTCCGTGGACACCCAACTTCGAGATCAACAGGGTGGATTTCGTAAGGATAGATCGTGCACAGATCAAATCGCAACTCTGCGGATCATTGTGGAACAATCAATCGAATGGAATTCATCACTCTACATCAACTTCATCGACTACGAGAAGGCATTTGATAGCGTGGACAGGACGACACTATGGAAGCTTCTTCGACACTACGGCGTGCCTGAGAAGATAGTCAACATCATACGGAACTCCTATGATGGACTAAACTGCCAAATCGTCCACGGAGGACAACTCACCGACTCGTTCGAGGTAAAGACCGGTGTTTGGCAAGGTTGCTTACTCTCACCCTTTCTCTTTCTCCTGGTGATCGACTGGATTATGAAGACGTCAACATCTGGAGGAAATCACGGGATACAGTGGACAGGCAGGATGCAGCTTGACGATTTGGACTTCGCGGATGATCTGGCTCTTCTATCACAAACGCAACAACAAATGCAGGAGAAAACGACCAGTGTATCAGCAGCCTCAGCAGCAGTAGGTCTCAATATAAACAAAGAGAAAAGCAAGACTCTCCGATACAATACAATATGCACCAATCCAATTACACTTGACGGAGAAGCTTTGGAGGATGTGGAAATCTTTACATATCTGGGCAGCATCATTGATGAACACGGTGGATCAGATGCAGATGTGAGGGCGCGGATTGGCAAAGCAAGAGCAGCATACCTACAACTGAAAAACATCTGGAGCTCAAAACAATTGTCAACCAACACCAAGGTTAGAATTTTCAATACAAATGTGAAGACAGTTCTACTGTATGGGGCAGAGACGTGGAGAACTACGAAAGCCATTATCCAGAAGATACAAGTGTTCATCAACAGCTGTCTACGGAAAATACTTCGGATCCGATGGCCAGACACTATCAGCAATAAGTTACTGTGGGAGAGAACAAACCTGATTCCAGCAGAGGAAGAAATCAGGAAGAAGCGCTGGAAGTGGATTGGGCACACCTTGAGGAAATCACCTAATTGCGTCACAAGACAAGCCCTCACATGGAATCCTGAAGGTCAACGAAGAAGAGGAAAACCAAAGAACACATTACGCCGAGAAATAGAGACAGACATGAGAAGAATGAAGAAGAACTGGATAGAACTAGAAAAGAAGGCCCAGGACAGAGTGGGTTGGAGAAAGCTGGTCGGCGGCCTATGCTCCATTGGGAGTAACAGGCGTAAGTAAGTAAGTAATTCGATTAAAACAGGCTATTCACCCAGACACACCTTCAAGTCCCGAAGTAACCAATACAAGTTGGTGTGCCTTTGTATTTTTTACAGATGAGGAATCCTAACGCACGTGTTGACTTTTTATTCCTACCGTTGATCTGAGATTTAGCCAAACAAATCATTCCCTCTTTGATACAGTTAAATCCTCATTTCAGTACCACAAAAAACAACCGTACGCTGGACTCATTCTTAGTAATTCTCATAGAACACTGAATAATTAATGCACCAGTTTTTGATATCCAATAACAAATGTTTTCTATAGAGCGTAAACCTCTGTTTATATCTTGAGGATTGTCTGGTTAAAATTATATCAATGAGTCGCACTAGTCAAGTTTAAGTTATAAATATCAAGGTCACGGGACACAAATAGAAAAGATTCTGACTGTGGTCTGATCCATGCTGATTTCAGTAATGATTTCGTAATAAATTATCTACAGGACACAACTGTTTATGAAATCTCTTTCACACTACAACGAATGGTACAAAAGGGTTATACTGAGTTGTTAAGTAGTCCAATCATTTAAATTCAGTTGAATTTTAGAGAGATTTTTACAAAGATCAGTTTGAGAGCTTCAAATAACGTGTTTTAACCCTCATCTCTAACTATCAAAATGACATTGAATCAGAGGTAAAAATATGTTCAGACTACTGGAGAGAGTATAAATGTTTTGCTGGTTTAAATAGGATCATCATATGATTGTTTGCAACTTCTTTCCCAGTGGTGCATATGAACAATGTTCAAATAATTAGATTACACTTGAGAAACTAACTTCGAAACTACAACGCGTCAACAGCGAACATGATTTCGAGTCATGCAGATGAACTACTCTAATGGACCTATTTCAATTTCAAAACAAAAGAACCACTAAATGACCCTGAAGAATGCGATGCTTCTACAAGAAACAAATGTATAGTAACGGTGTTTGTTCTCCAAAATAAATTATTCTTTTTACACCTAATTTCTGGATGGCTGAAAAGGCAGAGAAACTCAATGTATTTTTAAGAGTTCAAAGTTCCTTTCTATTCTCTAATTTTATACACATCCGGCAATGAAATGCTAGATATTTTTCAGGAAAACCATCAAAAGAAGTACACATTTATGTATTTGATGAAAAGACATGTAGTAGATAAGTTATGTGTATGTATATGTATAAACATATGTTTATTCAAATTTAAATAAATCAAATAATAGATTTTCACAATTCATTTGCAATTTTGCAAGTTTTGCAACCCACCACCTGGTCAAGAAGATGGAGATCGAGGTTACATTCTCTTTAATATACAACCTCCCAAAGAAACAGCGACTTCAAGATCAGTTAGACTACATTATCTCGAACCACAAACACCATCAACTGACAAATTGGGTACCTATGATCCCTACCAATCAAAGTAAGTATTTATTCAAAAAATTCCTTACAAAGTACTGAACTTCATGAATTACATTTGTAAACATTATTCACTTGAAATAATCCAAACTATGTATTGTCATAAACCATACTCTCTAAAATACTTTATCTTTTTAAATAGTCACACAGCTCATTCTGATCCCTTCACTCAAATCCTTTCAAAAGTTTAGAAGTGAATTTTCTCAACGTTATGTTCCTTATGTCACACAAGTATCGCAAATTGACTGAATTATAGTTGAAATAGTACAAATGAGAAATCATATGCATTTATCTTTCTTATCACTATCAAGAGCTTTGCTCAAAAGCCTGGAATTCATTGGATGATATGCAAACGTACGAAAAAACTACAGAGCATATTTCTAAATGTCTGTTTATTGACAGGTATTAAGGTAATTAATAATCAATTCACGTTCTTTTAAAAAAAGTAACAATCAATTTAATTCAAAAGGTACAACCTAGACCTAGTGAAATGTGTTTAAAATATATTTCAATTTGACTGGATAAACTTGGAGCTACTGCAGAAGCATGACTTCAATGAAACATGCGATTTCTAGGATCGTATGAAAAACAGACACCTACCAGTTGAACAATAGAAATATTAGTTAGTAATTAGACTATTTTAGATAACGTTTGTTGGGAGACTGAATCTCATAGGCAGAGCTGATAATTAAAGCTGAGGAATATCGTCAGTTACTACTGAGGATAAATTAGTACTCACTAGGTAATCTAGTCGACTGAGCTGGAGGATTAAACTCTTGACTAGGTCACAACTTTGCTTTTTCTCTGATTGCATATGGATGTTAAGCATCTTATGTTCTATGTTGATGTTAATCCGTTCTATCATATTTTCTTGTTTTCAGAAGCATTTCAGCAAGAGATACACTTCTCAATCGGACGACGAAGAATATTATTTGACTTTCTATTTACCATTACTGTTTAGCCAAAATATTAGTTGAATTAAAAAAAAAATAAGTTGGTTCACTGTTCTAAAATGTTTTCTGGTAAATTCATGTCACTGACGGTAAATAAGTAGTATACTGACAATTAATAACCTCAACTTTCAAAATGCTTGGTAATATAATAGTTTCTGAACGAAATAAAAACCGAAGAAAGTTTCTTCTGAATTTTTAATTAAAATCAAGAAAGAGAAACTAATATAATATTTGGAGTTCTAAATGTGACATGGTTATAATGCTTATCATTTAACTATTTCAGGACGTTCATGAAATTCTCTGCCGCAGGTATGCCATGGATGCTATTTAAACTATATTTTCCCATTAATAAAAACAGTAGTTCAATGAGGAGGTAAATACATAAAAATAGGTTGACTACAACTGAGTAGTAAATAACTTATGTTTATCTTTGATGCGAATACTACTCAGAATATAGTACAATGTTATAGGATTGGTGGGACGTATACTTTGTAGATTGTTATAGAGGTTGTATTGTTTGCAACCCAGAATTTATCAAGACTTGGAAGTCTGCGTTAAGGTTTACTCTAAGAAGGATAGACCATGGGAATATCTGAGTCACAAGTCTACCAATGAACGGGACCTAGTTAGTATTTTACCACCTGTGATGAAGCTGAAGTCTAGAAAAGGATTACCAAAACGAATCCACTCACATTTTGCAGTGACAAGTTCCGAATTCCATTTCGAGCACGATAAGGTTACCTTACTGATTTCCGTACGGATATACTTTGTATATGGCGAAGCTCGTGAAGAGGAAGTGAATCATCTATTCACAGGAGAGGTTTAATCTTCCAGAAGCATTCAGAGATATCATTTATATTGACTACAAAAGGTATATCAAAGACTACCTTGTATTACACCACTTGTGCCTGGAAGAGAATCAAATAATTTCACCTTATAATATTTTTTACATTGTTCTAGAGATAAATGAAGTAATATTAACTGCCCAATAGATGTCCAAGTTGACCTTATCTCCAGATTTGTAACGTTTTCTTATATTTGTGGCGTTCCATCGGTTAGAATTGGGTCTTATGTTAAAGACAGTGTAGCCATGTTTAGGAGAAGTAATGGAATATCAAGTGCACATGAATACTCGATGGCTCACTGAGACCTTAAGGGAGGTTGTGGCTTCACTAATGTTGAGATAAGTGAAAGAAATAGATCTCATGAAGCTTCTAGTCATGTCCATAATGTTTGATCTAACCTTCTACAGAAGTTTATCATTGGTCACAAAAACACCAATGAAAAGGCTTGTCATGGTTATAGAATTATTGATAAACAGACCATTATAGAAGATTCAAGAGACATCTACATTTTTAGATGCTTGAACGCGTTGATTGAAAAGAAGAACTAAGTTTCGCACTTCTAAACTATTGTCAAAATGGTGAGAAATCTTCATCAATTGGCTTTTAACCTATAAGTTTTCTTTTACTTGGATAAGATTTATAATTATTTGTGCAACTGCTGAAAAATCATTCAACTGGAAGTAACGATTTTGCAATCGTTTAACTTATTGCGATGCTTAACTTTTGTGCATAAATCATTAGGCTTAATAGTCCTGTATGTTTTTACTAGTGCAATGGAATCCAGACAAGAGCTATTGATCATGTAGAATATGTCTAGTGTGTCTTCTAGACTATTATTAGAGAAGTTACTTCAATCTGAACATCTTAACAGGGTTTGCAGGAAGTCCCAGTCTTCACATTTCAATCCCGTTATTAACTGATTTTTTATAAGAGAAGGCTACTATTAGGGTTAATAATAATAACAATAATAATAATCAGAGAACCGACGGCCACTTCATGATCACTGCTTTTAAACTCTGTGTTTATTTGCACGGACAGAGAAATAATATCTCGACAGAGAATTAGGTCGAAGGTGTCCCAAGTATAAACGATGGTTTGGCTAATACGGTTCTTGTTTTCAAGGTCAAAAATTTATTAAGAAGTGAGTGTGTGTTGATGAGTAATAATTTTAGAATGAAGTTTAAAAGGGAGATAACGCCTATATTAATGCAACGTACTTCAGTCACATATGCTTCTTCGTATTCCACACGGTTTCGTAATGATTCTAGGATCTCGCTATGTTATCGACATACCTAGTAGCGTAATCGAGGAAGTTTAATTACTTCAAACTTTTAAATCCATATAATTTTATGTAGTGATCTGTGGCAAACATTTTCATATGTTGCAATGTTATCATAGGTATTTATTTATTTTGACATCCATATTACTGGTTAAATATTTCATTCTATCATTATTAATTACAAGGATATTACAGACTTGATTTATCTAATGTATAACTCGTCTCCATAATCATTTAGCAAGCATAATTCGCTCACGAATATGAGGCAGCAGAACTCGCAAATAAGTTTTAATATCACATTACCTATTTCATCCCACCAATATATATCTTTAAATCATAGCGATTATGTTAATTATTCTAGATTTCGACCTTAACTCTATGTTTGCTAATCGAATCCATACCTTGGTTACGCACTTAAAACAATTATTTGTTTATAATAACTTATCACCAATAATAACATAGTAAGAAAACGATCTTTTTAAGTTGATGTTATGACAGTTAGTCGCATTTCTGGTGTATTTTCAATAGTCAAAAGTCCAACGATATTATAATACAGAATCAGTTATATATTTAATGTAAACTCTGATGGTCTTGTCGAATCTGTTATGACTTCTAAATGTTCCGTTGAGAACTGCGATTATGGTGACTGCCTCAACTAATGATATATTTTTGAATACAATAATGAATTCTCACTGAAAATGTATTTAATTGCCATAAGTTCCACTTTAACATACATCACATCTGTAAATAATCAGTAAGCTTATCAAAACCTGACTCTACAGTGTTTATTATTCTTGAATGTTCGTCTGCAAAGTCTACGATCGTTTCCACACCACATCCATTTTCTTCTGGTTGCTCAGAAAAATATATAACAAGAAAAATATACAAAATACTGTAAACTCTTCAGGTATATCTTAAAGCTGATGTCATTACGACATTTTATGGTTTTTGCACAAAACATATGACTGCCTTTTTCGGTTTTAATAAGTGTTCACCTGGTTAATCAAATCTAAACTAGCAAAGTTTATTGCGATTGCTTACTATAAGTTTGAACAATTCGCTGCGGACACCTTACTTTAAATTACGTGACCAAAATACATTACTTAATTGACTGTTCCTGAAAACCTATTGGATTTCGGGAGTAAACGACTTAAAAAACATACTTTCGAAGTAATAGTGTATATTGATTTGATTTGTTGATGGTCCTTAAGTAAAGAGATTTCAAAGCAATTCACTTTTCCCCAATGTAAAATTGTCAAATATAAACAAATAAAACAAGTTTTGTAATCAACCTCCTTTTTACTTACAACTAGTCTCAGCAACGAACTAAACGTAATGCTTAAATAGCTCATGCACTTTCAAATTAGGTAACAGAAATTGACCAATAAGTGAATGTTACTGTAATCAGTACATAATGAGTGTAAACTAAGCTGATATTTTAATAGTCCTATCTTGTATAATATGAAAGAATAAATAATTTCCCTTTCACCGTTGATAATTTAAAGACTATCGAGCTGTTAGTCCATCGGATATGTATTAAGTGGACATGATTAAAAGACTTGGTGGAATTACAAGATGAATGTTTGACATTTAATGCTCTACACAGTGTTGTGATTTACGTAAATCTGTGATAAATAGGACGTTCAAATTTTCGAATTTTTTCGTTCTTAAAGTACTATATTTATAATTAAGTCAATAACGAATGGTTTCCCCTTACATTTCCAGATAATATTGATGAATAATCTTCACCCTTGAAGATAACAATACTGGCCCAATTAGTTAATTTTATCCATAAGTATTGTTCTAATGAATGAAATATAAGTTTACAAAACAACAAAATTCCTTTTTCCTTAAATAGGTTTGTTCATAATGGGTAAATTGCTTCAATTAATTCTGTGACTGTCAACAATAGTGAAAACAGTAAATATACGTACTGCCAAGGGGGGGGCAAGTTAAATTATTCAATGAAATTTTTTTGTCTATTTCCATATGAATAAAAAGAAATATTTCCCATTACTGTATCCATGATTACAATATAAACAAATTATGCTGTCGATTTCCTTTGCGAATATTTAATTGATCTTCCAGATGGTAAAGGATCAAATTTCAGTGAAACGTTTATCTTTTATCGCCAGATATCCTTATAAGTAGACGTCAAATTGTAACTATGGGGTAGTATACATCATTTTTCGCCTATTTTATTATTTCAATGTATGACAATACAATTAATAATGTATACCCATAAAGTTATAACAAAATAATACTCCTATGAAACCACAATTTATTCATTATGATTTCATGCCTTTATTAAATATAACTTTATACTAGCTGAAGTTAATCTAAATATCTTAAGTAATGTAATTTGAGGTCGTATTATAGGTTTAATAAGTCATCTGTAAAGAGATGAATTAATGAGATACTTCTAATTGATTGACATATGCTGGCTTAAAGTAAACTTTGGAATCTAATAAATGGTTATTATTATTCAAACAAATTAAAATCATAGTAAATAATGAGTAATTTGGTTATTGAAGAATCACTAAGACTTAAGAGTTGCGAATACTTTTTTTTTTAGGTGAAAGCTCCTCATATAACTTTACATCTAATTATAGTAATATGTGACTGATAAGATAGCCCGATAACTATTATGGTCATTATGGATAATTTATGTTCTCGATGAGTAACGGCAGTTTGACAATAAATTTGAGCACGCCTACGTAATAACATTGAATATAACTGACTATATAATAAAAATTGTCTTAGATATTTGCGTAATTAATAAGTGATGAACCTGTAGTCATAAAGCATGAAATTCCTTTTAACTGGAAGATATCTAACTTTTTCACAAGCACTCGAGCAAACAAAACAAAACTATTCACTGTAGCGCGATTAAATTAAGGATAAATAACCACTATTACGTTTTTCGTATCTTAATTCTATATAATTATGCTGAACTCTTCTTGTTCTCTAAAATGTTTGACATTTACTGTTATCCATCGTCATATTTGATTTTCAAATGAA